GATGATGATAGAATAATAATAATAATAATAATAATAATAATAATAATAATAATAATAATAATAATAATAATAATAATAATAATAATAATTTATTATTATTATTATTAGTTAGCTTGGTGAATAAGTTAGGTTTTAGTTTAGGAGTCTTATTTAAAGGGCACTTGTGCTTTGTTATTAGAGAAGTTGATTATGAATAAAAGATGAATTGATATTGTGAGTTTTGCATGTTTTACGGGAGATTATCTCGTTTACTCTTTATCCTTCCCACTCGTACGCTTCCCTACATCAGTAGGTGAACATTTCTCCCTACATCAGTAGGTGAACATTTCTCGTCATTTGTTATTTGAAGTTTGCATCCTTCAAACAATACTTTGCCTTTTAGTGAATATAAAAAATCTAGCTCACTCATAAGTTGAGTAACAAATAAGATGGAATTATGGCCTTTTGGAAATCATAGAGATACAACTTTTTGAAAAAAAGAAATATATATAATCTTTAACCCCCCAATGTTGTGATTCTTTTGGAAAAGAATTACAAATGATCCTATATTACAATGTTTAATAACAAGTTTATACTTTTCTTTCTATCCAAGATATGAGGGGAGTGGATAATAGTATTTTTTTTATTATTTTTTTATTTTTTATATTAGAAGGTTAATGTTGGGTACAACATTTACAGTTCAGATACTAATCAATAACTTATATATAAATGAATATAAGCTAAAGTTGCAATTGGAATAAATCAAGATTTTTTTCCTAACTTTATAAATTTCCATATTTTAGGGTGCACATGTTTTACTACCCACCAAGTACAAAATAGGAGTACAATAATTCCAATTTACATATAAATGTTTTGTTTCTCTTATTTTCGTGTATATAAAAAATTTTATAAGATACAAAATAATGTAAATAATTTTATAATTTAACTAGACAATTCACCGTTACCCCTAGTCACTTTCAATGACTACTTATTAAAGGAAGATGCTACAGTCCTGTTACAAAATAATTCTGTCGGAATTTATAATCGTTGTATCGTCATATAATCGTCGATGATAGTTCATCTAAATTCCGTACTATTTTACCAACGAACAAAAAAAAATAAAAATGAAAACTAATCAAATTCGGAGATTGCTTCTCGAAAAATGCCTTTATCCTCTAATAAACCCAGCATTCTTAATTTTATTTATTTTCCTCTCTCATTTGTTCTTCACACTCAGTCAGCCCTCAAAATTCTCAGTACAACTCTTCTAGAAATTTTTTAAAGAAAATGTTGGCAGCGTTTGGTGAGGTGGGCTCAGTGTATTTCTATGCTTAGATTCGGGAAATTAAAAACCAAATCTTGGAT